TTCGAGTGAACTTCGTGGTAAGACCCAGCGACAGCCCACCAAATTCTGCCCTGGCTGAGAGGGAACAAGATCCCAAGTGTGGTTGACAATGTGCGCATCAAACTCTGCAGATGCTGCTCTGCGCCAATGTTCATCTTTAAGAGCTTGTGTGATTGTTCTGGGTTCGGCGAGTGATGAATGTGGACCTGCAACAGTAAGAGACAATTTTTGTTTTGGTTTCTGAATGTTATTTTTGGCCCTGGTTGTCATTTTGTGGGTATTTTGGTTCAGTGGTTGAGAGTGTGTGGTGATTTGGGACGATGTTTGGGTCTGAAGGTGCGTAGTGGTATCGATGGAACTGGTTTGGTTGGGATGGGGTTGATTTGTATGTAGCGAGGGATGAGTTGTGGACTGCAACTCATTTTGAGGTTGAGCAGTGGACTCAGAGGAAGATGGGTTCAGCTGGGCCATTGGTGAAGGCCCATTATGATTGTGAGCAGTGGGCTTAGAGAGAAGTGAAGAAGATGAGGGTAATACATGTGTATCAGAAGGTGGTGGCGCAGACGATGTCGGAGACGGTGGATGACTACAGTGAAGGTCCAAGTGCCGGTGTCCAGTGGGAGTGACCGGCATCGGAAGCTACAGGGGAACTGCTGTGACAGTCTGTGGAGTTGAAAGATCAGAGTCACCACGTTCGTCGACAATCTTCGAATTCGTGGTAGTCTGAAAGGAGAAGATCGTTTCTTCGAATCGCACATGTCTGGATGTATAAATTCTTCCCGTGGGTATATGAAGATAAAAGTATGCGTTTTGGTTCATCGAGTAGCCTAGAAATACTGATAACACCGTATTTTGACCACTTTTATGGATCGTTTTGAAATACTTTTTCTATGTTTTTAATTGCTTTTAAGTACTTTTATTACGTTTTTCTAATATTTGTAGTTCCAAGACTCTTTTCAGGTAACTTAGGGAAAAGCTTAACAAAATGGATAGCAAACCAGATTTCAGCTCAGAGTCAAACCGTCAGAAGTTCACCCCTGATTGAAGGCCTTCTCACCGTCTGATCCAGCTCAAATTTGGAGAACTTAAATATGGAAGTATCAGCTTTCCAGCACACTTTACAGCTTGGCAATCCAACGTTTCAATCAAAAGATACGCGAAGAGCAAGATGTCCCGTAAACCAGCCGGCAAGCAATTCCACCCGCGGCCAACAGGCCATTTCCCGCAGTCAGAAGCATCCCGACCGCGGCAAACCATCCATTTCCCGCGGTCACAGCCCTCCCGACCGCGGCAAGCCAACTCCGAGCCCAAAAGCCCATTTCTGAAGCCCACAATGATTCCCGCATTTGGAGAAACCCTAAGTGTCGTCCAGAGATGTCTTGAGCACTATAAATACATGTTTTAGGAGCCCTAAAAAGAGAGAACCGAATCATTACTTCATATTTTTATTGTTTTTGCTTTAGCTTTTAGGGAGAGAGAGATTTGTTCTCTTGAACCCTAGTTCTTCCTTTTTCAATTTCGGTTTCTATTCTACTTATTAATACTATTTTTTTGATTTTGTTCATCATGTCTGAGTAGTTTTATTGTTGGGATTAAGGGATTTTCGATGGGGATCTATATGTTCGATGAGGATTCCATGAGCTTTTGAGCCGAATCTTAGAACTTTTTCTTCTGAATTCGTTTTTACTGCATGAGAGTAGCGTCATGAACTACAATCTGATCCAGATGCTTGGTGACACGAAAGTGTTCATCCGGTGTCAGATCTAGTTTGGGAGAGCAAAACAAACATAGGAGTGGAAACCTACCTATGGGCGATTTGTGAATGCTGACGAGTCTTAAACATAATGCATCTCTTCTCTTCCAGGGCCAGAGTGGAAACCTACTGGTCAGGGTTGAGAGAGATAGTTGTCTATGATCACGACAGTGGCGTATTCATACGTCCGTGACTCCAGTTCGAAAAGTTTAAGCTAAGATCTTATCAAATTTACTCTCTAGCAATGTTTTGAATCGTTCGTACCCCTGAGAAAACTTCCCTGAACCCCAACGCCTTCTTTCCTATAGATTTACACCGTTTTTATTTCAAGCTTTAGTTCAATATTTTCATTCCTTTTAGTAGATTTTCATTTAAGCAATTAGAATATCCGTTTTTCTCATTTTTATTCATTTTCGTTAAGTTTAGTTATTAGGCCATTTAATTCCCGTAGTTTCTTTTTAGATTTCGTTTTTACATTTTAAACACACCACCAAAACCCCTACAAAACCGTTTGGTTCTAGACTTCCTTAGTTTATATTTTTTTCAAAGGCTTTTGCAGGAAAAGATCCTCCTTCCCTGTGGATTCGATCCCTAAGTACTACAATCGATCAGCTGTGCACTTGCGGCTATTGATTTCATTTAGGGTAAAACTTGACAACCCTCGACACACACGACAACACCACATCAAGTTTTTGGCACCGTTGCCGGGGAAGGCACGCGTTTTCTTTTCCGCAAAACCCCAAGAAAGGTTGGTAAATCGACTATAGAACCCTATTTTCTGCATATTTCCATTTTTCGGTTATTTTGTTTCCATTTCAGAAGATATGGATCATATGAAACGAAATTACTACTATGAGGGAGGTTTTTACAACACTCCTCGAGCCACTCAACGCCGAGAAGCACAATACATTCGTGATCTCTCCTCAATGGATCAGAATTCAATTCCGAACCACCACAAAAGAGGACTTCGCAGCCACTACAAATCAATTCGCGAAGGTTTAGAGGAACAAGGATTCTGCTGGGAGACCTTGTCAACTTACAATGCCCACGGAGATATCCATGATCCTCTCTTTGATGAAGATATGTCGTCTGTCTCCCAAACCGAGATTGATGATATGCTTCAGGAGCTCAATGAATCTATGGATGATGGGTATAGGGTATCTTGTGAAGTAGATGGAGAATCCTCCATCAAGTTTGTTAGAAAGAGGCCATCAAATGAAATTCCTTTGGATCATCACGTCATGGAAGCCACCCATCAAGAAAAAGGAGAACCTCTTTCCATCCCTAGTGACGATCTCGTCTCTACCGAT